TTATGTTTTTTTTTGTAGTTATGTATTATGTGTAACCTTACACTGCTTTGTTTTGTTTTGTGTTTTTCTCTTTTTCCTCTTAAATAAAAAAAAATATATAATTTGTAAATATATGAGTTTTATATTTACCTAGGACAATATCATTGACAATAGTTATCTGACAATACTATTCTGAAGGTGCTTATAACAAGAACACATTGTATGCTAATTAGTTTGTGAATTTTTGAAATGAAGTGTATTGTTATTTATAAGAAATGAAAAAAAAAAAATGGGCTGGGGATTTAGCTTTGCGGCATAAGTGCCTGCCTTGCAAGTGTGTGGTTGTGAGTTTGATCTCCGGTATCCCCCCCCCCAAAAAAAAAGGAAAAAAATGATGAAAATAGATAATCAAAGGTATCTTTATCAGATATACAAAGTAGATTTATTGCATTCAGGAATGAAAATTTGTAGAAATTTATTCATGATAACATAAATGATAGATTTCACATTTTTACATCACATCAAAACTTTTGTAATTGAACAAACGCTTCCTTAAGTGATCTGTATTTCTTGTTTTTTCTATGCTGAGTGAAGAATTCGTGTTCCCCTGCTTTAAAATCACGATTTCCATCTTTTTTTCCCCTCACATGAAGAACCTATGCAGTTATTACACAGAAAACATGTAAGAAAGGTGAGGTCTTGTTTCTGATTTTTTTTCTTATAATTCTTATGCATGTTTGTGTCAACTAATAATCATACATCCATTTAAAACCTTTTTCACTGGTGGTGAGACAGCAGACCAAACTCCTATCACTTATTACCTCTTCAGTTCCACTCTCCTCATTGGCCCATATCCTTCAGATAATTTGCCTACCAGCTTAATTTGCTTTTATTTTCCAGTGATATTATAAATTATAAACTATATCATACAATATCTTTGCTTCAAATATTTTTTTTTTTTGTGCCTGCTCATAGTTCTAATAATGACGTGGTCACGTTTTCTCTTGACCTATTAAGCCTTCCGATGTAGTTCTGCCAACTTGCCTTATTTCTCTGCTTTGCTTCTTCTCATTGCTATGAATGCTCCAAACTCATGAGCTTTCTGGTCCTGGAACATGCAGGGCTGTGCTCACCTCAAAACACTTATACTTACATATTCTGTGTTTGCCTATGCCTGGTCCCAACACTGCACAGATTATTCCTAGCCTCCCAGCTCTCCACCATACATTATATGTTTAGGACAGTTTGCTGTTCTGACTTTACTGAACTTATCATCCTAGAATACCATATATTTTTTTCATAGAAAATATCTCAGTGTGAAAACATCCCGTTTGCACTACTGCGTAAAATACCAGCCAGATATCTGCTTCATGATCCCTTTCTCACGCAGTGCAGCATGATATATAGTAACCTTTGTATCAGTACTTGTAAAATTCATATCTGTATGATAAATCTAGGACAAAAATAATACTTGTTTTTCTTTTCAAGGAACTTACTGCTGCAAATAGCGATCTGATTTGTAGTAACACAGTGGTAGTGAGTTATATTTTCTTGATAATTTCAAGTAGAGTCAAATGTTCATATATTTTATTTATGTTTTATTCATGTTGTAACTATTCACATATAATTATCTGTTTGAAATCAATATTCCATTTATTAGGAAATCAAGCAACTTATTAAGTTTAGACAAGGCATATGAAGGAAACATGTTTTTTTCAGTTACTTAACATTCACATGCATACTTCTATTCTCTGATTCACATCTCAGCAACTCTAATGAAAAATGATTTCTAAATGCACTCCTAAGGGAGAGAATCATTTATTTGATTTTCTAAACCTCACTCAATATTTTAAAATTGTTTCTTGGGGAATGCACACAGATTAATGGATTAATATTTTATCATTTGGATAATTCAAAATATTATATAATAATATCCCCTTACAAGAAACATAGTAAAAAATAATTAATTTCAAAATAAATGTTCAACAAAATTTATTGAAATATTAGAACCAGAAATTATATAAACATTTTAATCTACCTAAGACCTGTATTGTAAACCTAATACTCACTTTATGTTTTTATTGATACAGTTTTCCTTACTTTCTGAAAAAAAGCAAGTTGGTAGTGAGAGTTCTCACTCATGGTTTACCAAAAATCAAACCAAAAAATAAATGAATAAATAAACCCAGACAGTATAAAACAAAAACCACAAAAAATAAGTATATATACATACAATCACATGGACACTTGTTTGTATATTGATCTAAAGTGCAGTTTTTTTGGCATTTGAAGATTATTTTTAAAAATATTACTACTATAATGTTACAAAATTCAGTAGATAAAAACAAATGTTTTATTCATGATAGTTCTTATAATAGCCATATTATAATATTGTGTCAATTATGTTATCTCTTCTGCTCATTAGTGGTTTTAAGAGTGTCAAATGTTGGGGCTGGGGATTTAGCTCAGTGGCATAAGTGCCTGCTTTGCAAGCACGCAGTCGTGAGTTTGATCACTGGTACCGATAAAAAGGAAAAAGACAAAAAAAAAAAAAAAATTATCAAGAGTGTCGAATGTTAAAAAAATAATTGAAATAAGAAACTTTATGAAATCTCATTTTTCAAATTAAAGAGGTATGTAATGGAATGCTATAATATCAAAACATTTAAATGTAACTTCAAAAGAATAAGATAAATTAACGAAACCAAAAACAACCTAAGTAATTCAATGAAATAGCTGTCATAAGTCATGAAATACAAATAAAGGAGATCCATCCTGCTGTTAACAGAGGCTTTTACCAAACAAAGATGCTATTTAAAATCAGAATACTTTCAAATTATTGTTCTGTCCATATTTAATCAAAATCGGTTAGAAAGTCAATAAAGAAGGATAACTTAATTTAGAACCAAAATGGCCACATAGAAAAGAGTATAAAATCAAGTAGTTACTTCAACCAATGCAAACTGTGGAGCATTGAACAAACATAAAAATAACTAATGTGGTTTAAGAATGATCAATCTCTTCAGAATTCTGTGATGTACCAATAAGTAGATAGAGCAGCCTCTCTTGCTTATGAATAAACTAATTAAATAAATATACTTATCAATTACCTTTATAAGAAATGTAACATTTATTTGAGATGCTCTTATACCATGGGGAAATGTAAAACCAGCCACTGTGAAAATGGTGGGACAGTTTCTTCCTCCTCAGTGCAGTGTTAGAGAAATAGGAGGAGAGGGCAGCTCTCTCTCTCTAGGGAGAAGAGGGGCTGAATCCTGGGTTTACTCTTCAACTGTTTCCCCTGTCTTAGAAATTAGCTTCTGCCTTGACTTTTTTAGAGTGCTGAAGGATTCCTCTGTATATTAGATGCCTGGGGATTTCCTCAGAACAGATAGCAAGCTGAAACAGAGTTGAGGCTTACTTAGCTTTTACTCCAGGTTAGAACAGATAAATCAGGTTAAAAAAATAAATCTGTGCTAGCTTCACTAAAAGGAAGGAAATGAATGGAGAAAATTGATTGACCTCACTGAAGTGTCAACTTTTCAAGGTGCTGCCAAACAGCTTCATTTTGGTCTCATTTATCTGAGTGTTGATTAGATCTGGCATACTCTAGATACTGGGAGGTTGTTTCGAAAAAAGACAGTAATTTGGATTAGTATCAGAGTTTATGATGCCCCAGAACCTCTAGCTAGGCTAGAAGGACAAATATACAGGTTATTTATACAGACTAGATGCGCCTTATAAAGAACACTAAAGTGTGTTTCTTGAAAAGAAACAACTGGTAGATGAAAAGGATCAACATGATAGATATGAACATTTAAAACTCATTGGAAAAGGTGACAGTATAAAAAAATTATGGACCCTTACAATATTGAAACCGTGGTGTGTAAATTTGTCTTAGTACATGAGTTAAAAGACAAGTCTATTAAAATAAATATATAATATTTAAATAGATTTACCTACAAATAAGTATAAAGTATGATATCCTTAACACATTTTGGGGAGGAAATAAAAATATAACTTTTGTGTGCAATCAGAATAGCAAGTAGTTTAATGTGGATATTTTTAAGACATTTTAAGAAAGTCCCTTGGTACTTAGGAAGAAAGTATCAATGTAAAATTTACATAATAAAGAGACTAGAGTCTTGAATAAGAAAAGAGCAAAACTCAAAGAGAGACATGAAGAAAAGGAAGAGCAATAGGATGTGAAAATTAAAGGATCTGAAAATTAAAAGTAAGGCAGAAAAGATTAAATGATAAATTCCTTTCTGTTAATAATTACCATAAAAATAAATGCTGTAAAATGTCTATTACAACTCATGGAACAGATGAATGAATTTTTAAAACATGTAATAAGAATATATACTTTCTATTACAGTCATATTACATTTAAAAGACACAAATAACGAGAAAGTGAGGGGTTGAGGATGACACTCTCTTCAAATAGTAGCAAAAAGAGCATGTAAGTATATCTACCAATATTTCAGAGTAGATTTTATGCAAAAAAAAAAAAACTACACAGAAAGACAGGAAAGAACACCATACAATTATAAAGTAAGCAATTTCCATTGATGTATAAAAATTATAATTCTGTATGCACACACACACACACATATGAAAGAATTAAAAACTGTATTATAGTCATTACATTATATTAAGATATTACACTGTCATAATAATAAAATAATTGGAAAGAAAAATCACTAAAAAATAGTAGATATGAACACTAAAGAATAAATGGGACAGGCCAGGGCTGTCGCTCAGTGGCACAGCACCTACCTCACAAACATGAGGTCATAGAGTTCAATATCTTATCAAGAACAAATGGGCATGAGAACAGAAAACATTTAACCTAACAGCAGCAAGACATATTTAAAAATTGAGAAGAGAATATTCTTAAAGATATACCATGTTAGGACTGTAAACCTAGTTTAACAACTTTATGAAAAAAAATCACACCAAATTTCCTTCACAAGAGAAATTTAAAAAAAAGTCAATAGCAGATAGAAAATGGAAAAGTTGTGCTCACTTTGGCATCACATATACTAAAATTGATTGATACAGAGAAGATTAATTAGTATGGCCCAAAGATGACTTGCAAATTTGTGAAGCATTCCATATTTTTTACAAGAAAAAATGGACAGATTCCTAGAAACATTTGAATTACCAAAGGTGGGTCAAGATACAAAACTGTGGAATAACCCAATTTCAATTAATGAAATTGAAAATGTAATTACATCCTTACCAACAAAGAAAGACCAGGTCCAGATGGATTCACTGTGGAATTCTACAAGAAATTCAAAGAAGACTTAATGCCGACACTCTTCACACTCTTCAATAAAATTGAAAGGTAAGCAATTCTCCCTAACTCAAACCTGGAAGCAAATATTATTCTAACATCAAAACCTGAGAAAGACGCAATCAATAAAGAGAATTACAAGCCAATCTCCCGAATGAACGATAGATACAAAAATTCTCAGTAAGTTATTGGCAAACAGAATGCAGCAAATTAACAAGAAACTTATGCAATGTAACCAAGTGAGATTTACCCCAAGAATGCAGGGATGGTTCAACATACACAAATCAATAAATATAATCCATGATATCAATAGAGAACCACATGTTCATTCCTATAGATGCAAAAAAAAAAAAAAAAAAAAAAAAAAAGCTTTTGATAAGGTCCAACACTTATTCATGACAAGAACCTCACAGAAAATTGGAATGGATGGTCTTTATCTCAATATGATAAAAGCCATCTAGGACAAACCAACAGCCAGCATCATATTAAACAGCCAAAAAGAGAAAGCCTTTACCCTGAAATCAGGAACCAGACAAAGATGTACTTTATCACCATTCCTATTCAACATAGTGCTAGAAATACTAGCCAGAGCAATTAAAAAAGAGAGAGAAAAGGAGAAAGGATAGGGAAAGAAGATATTAAATTATCATTATTTGCAGATGACATGATTCTCCTACATAGAAGACACGAAAAATTCCATTGAAAGACTCCTAAATACAATAAATTCATTCAATAATGTAGCTGGATGCAAAGTCAACATTCAAAAATCAATAGCATTCCTATTTATTAACAACAAAACCACTAAGAGAGAAATAAGAGAAGCCACACTCTGCACCACAGCATCCAAAAAAATGGAATACTTAGGAGTCAATCTAACAAAAGAAGTAAAAGATCTTTTCAGGGAAAATTATAATAGCCTGAAAAAGAAATTGAAGAGGACCTCAGAAATTGGAAAGACATCCCTTGTTCATAGATAGAAAGAGCAAATATTGTGAAAATGGCTATTCTCCCAAACTATTACACAGATTTAATTCAATCCCAATCAAAGTACCAGTAGCATACCTCACAGATCTAGAGAAATCACTCCTAAAATTCATCTGGAACCAGAAATGACCTAGAATAGCAAAGGCAATCCTAAGCAACAAAAGAAAGGCACGAGAGAACACAATCCCTAACTTTAGGTTATACTACAAAGCTACCATAATAAATTCAGCATAATAATGGAATAAAAACAAACCAGAAGATGAATGGATTAGATTAGAAGATACAACTACAACTACAAACACAATCAGCCACCTTATCTTTGATAGAGGGACAAACAAGTTAACTGGAAGAAGGATAGTCTGTTTAATAAATGGTGCTAGAACAATTGGCTCTCCATATGCTGAAAACTAAAACTAGAACCATGCCTATTACCATGTACTAAACTAAATACTAAATGGATCAAAGATCTAACTATAAACACAGAAACACTAAGTCTTCTGGAAGACAAAGTAGGCAAAAATCTTGAAGACATACGGGTAGATAGAGAATTCACGAACAAGAATCAAACTTCACAGGAAATACTTCCTAGAATCAATAACTGGGATCACATCCTATTAAAGAGTTTTTGAATGTTGAAAGAAATCTCCAGCATAGTGAAAAGAAAACCCACAAATTTTGAAAAAAATTTTAGTGAAGTGTCCTTCAGACAAAGAACTTCTGTCTAGAACATATAAAGAATTTTTAAAAAATCAGATCCCCAAAATTCAAAGAGCCTTTCTAAAAATGGGCATCTGAAATGAATAAACAGTTCTCAGATGAAGAAATACAAATTAAAATAGATACATGAAAAAAAAAAAGTTCATCAATATTAGTCATTAGAGAAATGCAAATTAAAACAACACTGAGATTCCATCTCACTCCAGAAAGAATGATTAGGATAAAGAAAATAACAACAAATGCTGGAGAAGCTGTGGGGAAAAAGGAACTCTCCTTCACTGTTGGTGGGAGTGTAGACTGGTGCAACCATTGTGGAAGTCTGTCTTGAGATTTCTCAGAATGCTGGGATTGGAGATCCCATCTGATCCAGGTATTTCACTCCTAGGCATATTCCCAGAAACTGAAAGCATCATACCACAGTGATATATGGGCATCCATGTTTATAGCAGCACAATTTGTAATAGTCAGAACTTGGAAACAAATGTCCATAAACTGAGGATTGGATAAAAAGATGTGGTGTTTTTATAAAATGTAGTACTCAGCTATAAAGAATGATCACATTGAAATATTTATAAGTAAATGGATGAAATATTTATAAGTAACTCAAGAGCATACTCATAAGTGAAATAAATCAAACTCACATGTGTAAATGCCCTATAGTCCCCCTAGAGTAAGAAATGGTAAGAGTACATAAGATACTAAAATAGTAAATACAGTGAAAGGATAAGAATCTGCCAAAAGGAGAAAAGTTAATACCTCAGGGAAAATGAGGAAAAAGGAAAAGGAAGGGAAAAGAAAAAATTTCTAAAGTTATATAAATACACTTAGTATCGCTAAGAGGATTGTGCTACAATTTCTATAAGTTCTTAGAACAAAATAGTTAACATTCATAGGATTGGAACAGTTGTGCATATTATTGTATGCTGATCTGAGGAACTCTTGAAGATCATTGTGTAAAATAACAATCCTCCTTATGCTCCAACTATCTTTTTTGGAAGGTCTATATTGTCAGTGTTTGGGCTCTTTGCTATTGTTGTTTATTTGTATTTTTTGTTTCGTGTTTTTCTAGGAATTTGTTTTGTTTTTTCCCCTCTAATACAGAAATGATAGTTATACATGTAGAGACTCATACATGTGTAGAACTTCTAACCAGTTTACGAGAACTGATTATATAATCCATGACGAAATGAACAGCTACTTTGAAGAAAAGAGACACTAAGATTCCCAGTGATGATTCCATCATGCTGGAAATCTAGCAATAGTATTATTCTTTGTTCAGAGTGATTTTAGTCTGTATTGTTTAGTTTGTATTGTTTAATTTCAACATACATGAGAGCATGAACAGCTATATTGAAAAGAATGAGAGATGTTATGTTAGCCATTGTTGACTTCCCTATTGTCTGGTTTTGAGGACCTATAATGCCTTGATCATCCTGTTCTGATGAGTTTTATACTAGTTTGTTTTGTTTGGATTCATAGTATGTGAAGATATGAACAACTATTTGGAAGAAAACTAGAGACAGTATGATAGACAGTGGAGATCTCAGGTTGTCTTTCTTTGAAATTTGTGTTAATTACATAGTTTTCTTCTCATCTGTTTTGTTATGTTTAATTTTATTCTTTAAAATAAAATTTTAAAAAGAAAATGGAAAATTTTATAAATATGTAGAAATTATATAGTTTCAACAATCAAATTACAATAAATAATGATGTGAATAAAGAAATGCATTCATTTTTAACTGAGCTTGTTGGTGTTCAACGATTCATAGGAATTTCAGAAAATTGTATTTAATTTTGTGCCATTACTTGTAATATTTCCCATGTTGTTTCTGCTTTTAATTAGTTGATGCTTCTCCTTTTCTTCATAAAGTTAAACTTATACCAATTGTATTTATCTGTTCAAAAACAGAACACATATCTCGGTTATCTTTTTAAGATTTTTCTCTATTCTCTTTATTTCCACTATAAATAAAACTATACTTTTCCTTTCCTTCCTGCAGCTGTGGGTTAGCCATGTTCTTTGTTTTCTTATGTATTTAAATCTTGTATCTCAGAGAAATTTCTCCATTTAGGTGCTCATCATGCAATCATTAATTATCATTTCTGTATGCTATCAATTTTGATATATTGGTTTTATTTTCATGTGTATTGAACCCATTTAATTTTATAGCTCCAGGATTTAAGCTACTTTGATTTAATTCCAGTTGCAAAAGAAACTTTACTAATAGTCATATGTTTGGAGATATTTATTATTATTAGATGTTTTTTACTACAGAAAACAAATTATAGCTTCAGTTTATTTCAGGAATTACATAGTGTAATTCCTATGTGTATATACTCAAATCCAAATGGCAAGTTTTACAGAAATCAAAAAGCAACCTCAAATTTATTTTTAAAAATACAAATTACTTAAAATGGTTGAATGATTTTGCAGAATAAAGATTAAAGAGAAGTATAGCACTTTTAACTACAAAATATATTATTAATAAGTGGTAACTAAGACAAGTCAGTATTTTTATAATAACAAACACTAAGTGGATTAAAACAATTTTACAACTTTAAAATGTAAAATTTATTAGAAAAAAGGCATACAAAAATACATTTTGTGATTTTAAAATGTAAGAAATCTTATAATTTATAATAAAGTTGATAAATATTGATAGCATGTTATAATTAATAAGCCAGGTCACAGAGAGGGATAAGAAAGAAAAAATGGATACAAAGCTTTCGTAAATAAGTGGGGGAAAAAGGCTTGAAGAGAAGGTAAGAAATTTTAAAAAAAAGATAATCAAGTTATGCTGGTACAAATTCCCTATGATGAATGTGGTCATTATGTATCTCTAAAATGTACCAATAAAATAAATTAATTAAACTAATAAATGATGTACTATTCCAGGATACATAAAAATGTATTATTCTTTTTAGGAAAGCTTTTAATTTTTAACTTTAAATCTAATTAAAACACAATGAAAACAGAGAACAGAAGAAAATTGATGAGAAATAATACAAAATAAAAATAGTTATAAATAGAAAAATGCAATGTGACTTAATAAAGAGTGCAATAGAGATAAAAATTCATTTAAATTGTTCACTAAAAGGAAAGTCAGATTTTAGTTATATTTCAT